GCACACCTGCATGACGTGTTTTCACAGGGGAATATTCAAATGAAGTTCTTGAGCCAACAAAAGTGATCTCTGTTACTACGACTGGGCATTTTGCAGAGCACTCCCTTCAGCAAAACAAGAGAAAAGTCAACCACTCCAGCAAGAAAGGGAAAAACGTAAGTTTTATCTCTGTGGAGGAAGGAAATATAATAAACATGCATGTATGACTGGATTAGCAGCAGGATGTCTATGTATAGTTGTAGAGTTTTCTTTTCCTATTTACAAAGACAGAGACATTTGAAATGGACTTAACATGGTTCCCAACTATCATTGAAGATGCATAATTTGCGTGTAAATATTGCAGTTTCCTCTAATTATAAAAAATATACATAAAACAATTAAGCATGTGTAAAAGGCTGATTATAAAATAACCTGGTGGATGGATTTGTTGTCAGTGGACAAACTATCTAAATATTTGAATTTGTCCAATTGAGACAAACCTTCCTTACATTTTAGACAAAACACTATAAATCCATCTGACAAAGCAAATATGGTTCTGGGTGTGGCTTTAGGTCTATCACAGCTGGTACTGTGACAAGTATTAATCCTGAGATTGAAAGACAGATAACTAACACGTCTGGAGCCGCAACACAAGTTGATCCAACTAAATGGTGGAGAGAATTTCAAACACCACCAAACCTCTAAATATTTTTGTATGTAAAGCGGTACAATTATTTGGTCGTGGAGTCAATTTACTTTCTCTTTGCCTAAAAGTGACTTGACATGGTGCACAGTTACAAGAATTAAATACTAATCCCTGCTTCAGCCAACAAAATGTACTATCCTTAATGCCTTAATTCAAGATTTAGACACTAAGTATTAAATACAACTATCTGCACTTTCTGAAGAAATAAGTGAAGAAATTATTGTTACATAAAACCCTGTAGTTTATAAATGTCTTGTACACAACTTGTGTAAATACATTAATTTGTCCAACAGAGACCAACCTTCCTGATCCCTGAACCAAAACAGTCTAAAATCTTCTGACAGAGGAACCATGCAGTGGAATTTGTTTCTGTTTGTTTTGATGGGTAAGTAACCATATAACTGCAACGGCGTTTAATTAGACGTTAGTTTACATTCATAAAATACCTCATAACGTAATTATAAACACATTTTGATTCCTGTAAAATTGAAACTGGAACTAAATTGTCTTATTGGCTCAATTTGTGCTTTCTTTCTGTTTCAGCTCAGTGTTGCTTCATGGACTGTCAGCTCTATGAGTTTCTCTACATTAATGAGAATAAGACCTGGACTGAAGCTCAGCAGTACTGCAGAGAGAAACACACTGACCTGGTCACAGTGACTAACATGAAGGACATGAAGAGACTCATCAACATCTCAGCTGGACGTCAGAGTGAAGCTTGGATTGGTCTGTATGACCAAACACATGGTACCAGAACATGGTACTGGTCTCAATCTGAAGTGGATTTCAATGAAAGTGAGACAAACTGGAATCCCTCAACAAGTGAACCAAGTGATAGTGGAGGAGTTGAAAATTGTGGGTTTATGTGGAAAACCCTCAAGTGGGGAGATTTGTCCTGTAATGACCGTTACATTTTTCTGTGCTATAGTGGTAAGAATATATTCCCTTTGTTGTTAGTTTATTAGTGAAAGTATCATGAACTAAGCTAAAACTGTGCTAGGAATGGAAAACTAATTAACTTTGAATTATTTACTTATATTTACCAACATTTTAACTCTATTATTTAGAAATGCAAAGCGTTCTTTACCTTGGTTTCCTCTTTTCACTGCATAGAAACAAATGAATCAAAGACATTTCACTTGATTAAAGAAGAGAAGACCTGGCTAGAAGCTCAGAGTTACTGCAGACAGAATCACACAGACCTGGTCAGTGGAACGAAGCAGCTACAGGACCAGCAACTCAAAAATGTATGCAGCTCTTTAGGACAAAATCAGTACATACTTAACGGTTTATTCAGAGACACCTGGAGGTGGTCAGATGGAAGCAGTTTCTCTTTCAGACACTGGAATCTACAGTTTAACAATCAGAGATTCAACAGTGGTCAATGTGCCATGACTGTGTTTGATGATGGAGGCAGATGGAAGAATGTGAACTGTGCTGAAAGAAAACCCTTCATCTGTTATGATGGTGAGTTTAACTTTGAATTGGAAAGTGTTTTAAATATTAATCTGATTATTTTTCATGTTGCTGATAGGAGTCTTAATGTTTTCTTAATGGGATTAATGACTTAATGTTCAACATGAAAAATTCAAAGCATTTCTTTTATTTTCTATAATTTTACAAATAGATTTACTTGACATTAGCATAAACTTGGAAATTTACTGACACTGTTTATGTGCTTACACATATTAAACTAGTTATTTCATGTTTGTGTCATGAATCAGATAAAGTGATCCTAGTCAAAGAAAATATGAACTGGTCAAAAGCCTTAAACCACTGCAGAACTCACCACCATGACCTGGTCACCATCACCAACATGGATGAACAGCGATGGATCCAGGAGAAAGTCAAGAACGCATCGACTGATTACGTCTGGATGGGTCTGCGCTTCAACTGTACTCTGAATTTCTGGTTCTGGGTCTGTCCCGGGATGACAACCTTTAACATCTCAGACGGAGCGACGGATGACTGTAACATATCTGGCTGTATGGATGTCAGAGGACAACATAGATGGTTTAATAAAAATGCTACAGAAGAGTTTAATTTTATCTGTAAGATTTAAATCTCACTAAATGCTTTTACAAGGTTTTTATTCACATACTTGTTTCTTATGCTTGTTTTTAAATTACTGACAGTAAAGTATAATTGCAGCTCCAAGTTCTGGAAATAACTATCCTTTTTTATATTATATTGACCCGAATGATCACGGAATTTGTTCACACTTAGAGTAAAATATACTCTAAACAATTTGCTGTGAAGGTTTACAGTGAAAATTATAACCCTGCTTTGGAGACTTTTATAGCAAAAACATGTACATATGCATTTTTCTGTGACTCACTGTTCTATAATTGTTTTTATCATAGAAGACGTGGGACCAGTTTTCAATTTATGTCAGGAAATGGTAGAAGGTACAGCCAAACATCTGTGAGTTTTAACATCGGTAAAAAAGTCATTCTCGCAGAACTTCCTTTACACTCTGACCAACCGAGATTATATCATCAGTCATTTGTTGGCATTTTTTTATTTGTTTTGTACAGAGTTTATGCTTTAATGGACTTCTGTCCAATTTTAGATTCTTTTTTTTTTTTACATTCTCTGAAGCTCATGTAAACATAGCCCCACATTCACTATGGAAAACAGGGTGGAATAGAAATCAAATAAGAAAGGGCTGGAAATATGTGTGGTGCTTTGCTGTTCATCAGCTGAATGATTAGAATAAATTATATGATGGTAGTAAAGTTTTGGGAAAATATTTTAAACTCACGCTGAGTGACTGCATCACAGTTACTGATTTGATTTACGAATCAACAAATTTTCCCCATGTTATAATCATTTTCCACTGGCAGATTATTTAACCTGTAAGTATCAATATTAAGGAATTATTGACTTAAATCGAGCTCACATATCGTGCTAAGGTTACTTGTAAGTTTTGTATTATTTCAAGTATGCTGTAAATTTTGCACTAGAAACTAAACCAAAAATAGTTTGTAAGATTTACTGTTTTTACAGTGCAAGATAAAACACAGGCAAATGTATTTGTTGTGATTTTATCAGCAAAAACATTAAATTGGTTAAAAAAATTAAATTCTATAGTATGTTTGAAATGAAATAAACTGTGAAATAAAATAATGAATCACTAAATGAGAATAAAGAGGGAAAACGGACATTCCTTTGGATGTCCGATAAAATCTTTTTCTGGTTTTCTGAGTTATTTCTTCACTCTTGTGTTATCACTTCAGTTGTTCTTGTAGAGCTATTCCACATAAAGCCACCAGAGGGCAGCGGTCACATTATTTTTTTTTAGTTTCAAGTTTATTCTTATGACAAAAGGGTGGAAAATAAATGTTAATATTGAAATCTTAACGCAGGTGTGTGTCTCCTCGGCTCTGTACTGCAGCATCAAATGTTTAAAAGATAATAATAAGCGACTATTATCTTTTTTTATTATTATTTGTCTTTATTGTCATTGTACAGAAGCACATCAAGACATATTTTCAGTACAGTCAATTTTCTATGTAAAATTGGATTTGATCACTTGGTCAGTTTGACTGCACATGTGCCTACATGTGCAGTCATATGTTGACAAATATTTTTATGTTACCAAATTCCCTAAGCATGAATTTCCTACAACAAAATGTATTATCATATTCCTCTACATCAACTTGACTATTATTTCTAGTCAAATACTTTAGGTACTGAACCTGCCTAAAAATATCTACAGTTAAATTGATCCTGATCAAAGAACATTTGCAATGTGACACAACCTGACCTGATACTCAAAAACTTTTGGAAAATTTGGATTAGGAAATAACTTGACGTATATCTACCTATGACATTACATTTGTGTTGGATTCCAGGATGTAGAACATCAGCATATCAGATTCTTTTAAAGTTTGAATATTCAAATAGAGTCTTGGTACTAAAACAAGAATCACCATCAGGCACTGAGCATTTCACTGAGGACGGTCTACAACCAAACATCAAGCTGTTGGATCATTTTGAATCCATGTGAAAGGAGAAAACAAGTTGTAAGTTTGTCTTTAAAAACATTGCAAGTAGATATTTTATTAGGAGGGATTTCTGGAAAATACCTGTTTTTTTATGTTGGCTTTTTTCCTCTCTAGTGTCTATCTCTCAACAAAATAGATGGATGAAGTAAATTTGCAGTGGATTCAGTTTCTGCTTACTGTAATGGGTAAGATCTTATACATAGATTTTATTATTTAGATTT